AAATTCGTATTACCCGATTCTAATTTGAGCTCAAGCTCTGACTGGAGTTTAGGCAAGTCATGTTTGTTAATGAACAAAGACTCTTGCTTATAAAAAAAATTAAAAAAAAAAATGAACAAAGACTCTTGCCCATTTTTTTAAAATCGTCATGTCTTGTATCCATATCCGTATTCGTATCCATCTCCATACTTCAAAGGTAAAACATCAATAACTCAGGTTCCGTTAGGGGTGTGAATTGACTTTTGGGCTTTTTAGCCTTAGGCTAAAAAGTTTCGTTTGAGACGGATTTTTTTGGCTTTTTAAATTTTTATGAGAGAAAAAATAAAATGATTATGGTTTGGATACAGTATTTTGTCTTATTGTTTTTTTAATTTATTTTATCTTTTTATAAATAAAAAATATAAGAAATAATATAACTTAAAATAGATAAAAAGTTAAAAATTAACTTTTCATTTGGTTGCCAAAGCACCCCTAAGAGATGAAAAAAATGGTGGTGATAAAATAAAGAAAGAAACATGTGTTCGAGCGTGAAGCAATGGACTTGGGTTTGGGCTAGGCTCTCGTTTGAATGTGGTTGGGATTACTTTAATTCATTAAATAGAAAAAAATAATTAAAAAATAAATAAGACAAAATATTATATATAAATCATAATTATTTAAATTTTTATATTTTGCAAAATTATAAAAAAAAGTCAAAAATTCATTCCAAACAAAAATTTTGTAATCAAACTAAAATAATAATAAAAAATAAAAACCAAACTAAAAACATTTATTACCAAACAAAGTCTACCAATAGGTTTTGCTTTAGGATTCGTTTGGCATTAAGGTTTGAATTGGGTTAGGGCTATTTTAGCCGCAAAAAAATAATGGGCAAATTATCAAGAAGTTTTCTTTGAAAAAAGACGTTTTTCTTCTTCTCAGCCTTTGTTATTCTTTGCCTCTTTCTTTTTCTGAATTTCGACAATCGTCAACGGGTAGTCACATCTTACTTCTTCTCTTTCTCTTTCTAATATATAATCATCGGCGATCGACGACTACCATTAATTGGGGTTCATCGGCAACCACCGACTGTCGACTCCTTACTTCACCTTCACCGACAGTGAATAAGTGTCACGACCCAAACCCGCCTCCATAGGTTTAGTATCGAGACCGACCAGTAATCCTCAGATTACCAAAGGCCTCATGACATAATAGCATATGAAGAGGGTCTGCGGAAGCAATATATAAAACACATACAGTCCATTGAGCCGTGTTGACATGCATGGAACAGACAACTTAAAATTTCTTTATAACAAGATGTAATATTTACACACACCAAGTACATGCCAAAAGACATCCTGACTAAACATCACATAGCATAAAGTGTTTACAAAAACAGCCATGAAACTTAACTTCAATCGGAGCCTTCTCGGGAGGCACCAGGGTTGGCTGACAAAACTAAAGCATAGGTCGTCAACTCTAGGCCTGATCACGTGCCTGCTCACCTACATACGTAATATAAACAGTGAGCTAATGCCCAGTGCATAATAACAGAGTAAAGATTTTATTGAATGATGTCCATACGGAAACAAAGCCTTGTACATAATTAGTTACCATAACAGAGCAGATTCATAGGTATTCTTACATTCGTAGTCAAACTTGTACATGTATCATATCATAATACGTGACACATCCATTAGCATTGACAAATCCGATAACCCACAAAGGGACTGTTATGAAGGCTTACTGATGATTCATGTGCACAGAGACGTTTCTGATGACCTATGAAGGGAAGCATATCATATAATGCTAAGGATGCCACGGATAACTTTTAGAATCTTGGACAATCATTCATTCGTTTCAAACATAGCATTTCATTTTAGAAAACTAATTACTTCATATTGTAATATTCGGAAAATACTTAACATTGAACATAACTTTACAAAGTCATCACTCACAGATGATTGATAGCTCTAACTAGATGGTAAGGTGGCACTTCACTTGTCTTGAGGCGCGTAACCTACATGAACACACATACGAATACACACTTGAAACACACATTCGAGTTGTACATAACTTATTTCGTTTGTTCTTAGTGTGTTTTTAGTCTTTAATCCTCATTATTGAGTCTTAACATAGCCTAGGAATGCCTAGGATGGAATGAGGATGCAAAAATGTGTTGGAAAATAATTTTCAAAACTTGCTGAAAATAGGGTCCACGCTCGAGCGTGGCTTTTCCCGCTCGAATGGACATGCAAACAATGAAGCCACGCTCGAGCGTGACTTCCCTCGCTCGAGTGGACTGCAAACTTTTGAAAAAGTACTGGTTGCATGTGTTTTCACACTCGATGGATGCTCGACCCTAACTCAAGCGTGAGACTCAAACTATCGCTTGAGCGGACTGTAAAACACATGAACTTCTGGGCATATGCATTTCACGCTCGAGCGTGACTCTCGACGCTGGAGCGAAAGTGCATGTATTCAGAGTGTACGCTCGAGCGTGAAGTCCTCCGTTCGAGCATGGATCAAAAATCTGGAATTTCCAGATTGATCCTCAAGTACAAAACTCAACCTTTAAAGCTTCAAACTCGATTTTTCTGGGCCAAATTCCTGAAAAATACTTAGAAACTCATAATACAACATGTCTTGAAGATCATTTTATAAAATCAAAGCCCAAAGTATGTCAATTGAACACAATACCAACTAAAACTTCATGAATAAAACATAAAATACAACATACATGATCTCCCTTGAATTCAAACACTCCAAAATATTATCAGACTTGGTAATTTAATGGAAAACATGATGAATTCTCAAAACATAAATGAAATAAGTACATGCATGAAAGAATCCTTTGAAGTTATGCCCAAAATGTGAAGAATTGCACATGCATGTATGGTATGGCCCCATTCTCTCAATTCTAATGCAATTCTACCATGAATTTACTTAATTCATCAATAATCTTGTAGAATCTAACTCAATTACTCAATTTAGAGTTTAGTCCCTTACCTAGAGGGTTGAATCTACAATGGTTGAAGTCAAAACTCTTAAATATTCTTCAATGACAACAATTCCTAGCATCCTATAATTTGAGCCCCAAATTCTTTAAGTTTTGAGCCAATTCTTCCTCCTTCACTCTCTCTCACATTTTTGGTCTAGAGGATGGAAAATGACAAGTCAAAATATATATAAGGTGTGCAACAATTTGTATAAGCCCACTCAATGGCACACTTGTAATTACTTTGGATTCAAATAATTCAACCTTATTTATTATAATTTAATCATCCCAAATCGAATTTAAATTAAACCTACCATAAAATCCTATAAATCTTGATGGGCATATAAATCAAGTCAATTTCTGAGTCAGATGCCGATAAAGCTTTCAATTCGCAAATCGAAACTAAAGCATAAACAGATTTTTCTATTTCAATACATATAGACACAAAATGATGCAATATACATATAATTGACTCAGAATTTCTTCTTAATTACTTATTTGGCATACTTAAACATGGATTAGTGTTAAGCACTGGTTGGGGTTGTTACAAGGAGATATGTTTCTAACGAAGAAGATGAGTAGATCTACATCAAATCCGACTAGATCTAAACAAAAAATAATTGCCAGAATACAGTCCTCTCTCTATATCTACTTCTCTTATTCAATCTCTTAATTTTTCTACATTTTCTCTGTTATACACTTGTCTTTTCCTATTTTAATGGAGAAAATTTTCAAATTCTGAACAAGTTATTTTTGAGTTTTAGTTACAGGTAGTGAAAACTGTAAAATTTTACAGTTTCAATTTATTTGGTGCTATAATGAATTATGGTTTAAAATTATAAAATTTTGCAGTTTCATAACATTATTTAAAATTGTAAAATTTTACAGTTTCATAACATGTTTTCAGTTTGATTAATAAGGATAAATGCTTAATAGATTTTTGCTTTGAAACTGTAACATTTTACAGTTTCAAAGCTTGTTTTTTATTTTGACCAAAATTGGAGATTATTTGCTTAAACCCTACAAAAATTAAAAAATAACATATGTTTTTTCCATCGTTGTTGTTTTTTGTCATTATATTTTTTTCGTTTTAGTTTATCAATATTTAGTACATTTTGTTACGCTTTTTCGCTCTAATTTCTCCATTTATTTATTTTTTCTCGGGAAATATTTTGGACATTGCAATGAGTCTCTAATGATATTCTTAACGTTCAGCGAACGTTCTGGACATTCCAGCGACTTCCATTAGCGTTTAGAACACTTCGGTGAACTCTGGCGACTTTCCGGTGATATTAAACATTCAGACGAGTCTCCGGTGACCGTATGATGAAAATCCGACAATAATGGGATGCAGTAGTGTTTGTAAATTAAAAAAATAAAAAAATAGGATTTTTTTATAATAATTAAAAAGATATAGGACTAATTGGTGCAAGTGTTATGTTTTGAGATTAGATGAGTTTTGAACTTTATATTATTGATAAGTTTTCCAAAGATAAAATAGATTTTTTAGCCCAATAAGACAAAATATCACATCCAAATCATAATCATTTCATTTTTTCTCCCACAAAAATAAAAAAAATCAAAAAATCTATCACAAACGAGGCTTTTTAGCCATTGGGCTAAAATAGCCAAAAAAATTAAAAAGTTAAAAAGTCAACTCACATTCCAAACAAAAGTTTAATATGATATAACTTTTTGATTTATAAATATTGTATTAAAAAAGAAAAAAAAAATGAGAATAAAATAATAATACTACAAATTCAAAATTTACTTAAAAATAAAAATCAACAATTTAAATTTATTTTACTCATAAATCTCACACATTATCAATTTACTTTTTATTAGACATTCTCCTTCTGATTAAATTCTAATTGTGACATCCTATACTTTTTGAGAAGAAAATGGTGGGAGGAGGTGCAACATAGTAAATTAATAAAATAATTAAAATTTGGAGTTGTTTTGTTTTTATTATCGACCTGGTGGGTCCATTCAAACAGTTTAATTCGGCCGCCCGCTTTGTCGTCTCTCTCGTCTCCGTCCACCACCGTCGTCCCTTTGCGTTTGACTCAACACCTCGCTCTCCTCCCTTCTCTTTCCTCTCTCCTCCCTCTCTCTCTCTCATCGCCAGTCTTTGTGCTCTTCTTCTTCTCTCCCGTCTCTTATCCAACACGCCATCACCCAACTCTCTCTCTCTCTCTCTCAAAATATTTGATCTGAGCCCTCTGTTTTTTTATTTCAGAAGTGTCTCTTCTTGTTCAGAACTCAACTAGAGACACAAACCCACACCACAACCATCATCGCACCAGTCCTCTCCATCTTTTTCGTCACTTTGAAAGCGTTATTATGAGTAGTCAAAGACTAATCTTTCTGAACATCACTGTTTGTTTTTGAGGTTTCTAAAAAGCTTGAATCTTTGTGGGTTGTATAGTCCTCATGGCTGGTAGCAATGAAATCAACGCTAATGAATCCAAGGTGCTCACCTTTCTCCTTTCAATTTCGCCTATTTTCCCTTATTTACGAGCTAATTATGTGTTGATTTCTTGATTTTCCGTTTGCTTTTCGTGCTTTCTCTGTTGGGTTTGAGTTTCTCTGTCCTCAAAACCCAAAAGTTTCTTCTGTGGGGAAAAAAAGTATCTAACTTTACTCTGATTGGAATGATTTTGATTTGTATTTTGCTATTTTTTGGCTAATCCCCTGTTTATTTCAAGATTTCCACACAAAAAATTTCATTATCTTCATCTGGGTTTACATGATTACTATTTCAAATCTTCCTTTATTATCAAATTATAATTGAAAAAAACACTATTAAGTATCGTACGGCTCTGTTTAATTGATTGGTTTTTCTCATCATCATCTTCAAAATCTTTGGTGGTTCTTTACAGAGAGTGGTTCCACTGAATACATGGATCCTCATATCAAACTTGAAGCTAGCTTACAACATGCTTCGCCGCCCGGACGGCACATTCAACCGTGATCTAGCCGAGTTCCTCGATCGCAAAGTCCAAGCCAACACAATCCCAGTTGACGGAGTCTACTCTTTCGACGTGGTCGATCGATCCACAAGCCTCCTCAATCGAGTCTACAGACCAGCCCCAGAAAACGAGTCTCAATGGGGTTTAGTAGAGCTGGAAAAGCCCTTAAGCACCACTGAAATCGTACCTGTAATCATCTTCTTCCATGGAGGAAGCTTCAGTCACTCCTCCGCCAACAGTGCCATTTACGACACGTTTTGTCGCCGCCTCGTTTGCCATTGCAAGGCTGTTGTGGTGTCTGTTAACTATCGCCGATCGCCCGAGCATCGATACCCTTGTGCTTATGATGATGGATGGGCTGCTCTGAAATGGGTTCACTCTAGACCTTGGCTACAGAGTGGGAAAGATTCAAAAGCCTATGCTTACTTAGCTGGAGATAGCTCTGGTGGTAACATTGCTCATCATGTTGCAGTGAGAGCAGCTGAATCAGGAGTTGAAGTATTGGGTAATATACTTCTTCATCCTCTGTTTGGCGGGCAAGAAAGGACTGAATCAGAGAAGAAATTGGATGGAAGATACTTTGTGACGATTCAAACCCGGGATTGGTATTGGAGAGCCTATTTGCCAGAAGGGGAAGACAGAGATCATCCTGCTTGTAACCCGTTTGGACCGAGGGGGAGACCGATTGATGATCTGATCAATTTCCCGAAAAGTCTTGTGGTTGTGGCGGGTTTGGATCTTCTTCAGGATTGGCAATTGGGTTATGTTGAAGGGCTCAAGAAATCAGGACAAAAGGTGAAACCCTTGTTCCTGAAACAGGCCACGATCGGGTTCTACTTCTTTCCAAACAATGACCATTACTATTGTCTCATGGATGAGATAAACAGCTTCGTGAATTCTAACTGTTAATAGAGCGTATAATAATATTACTAATTACTACTACTCTTAACTTTGAACAGAAGCTTTTGACACTTCACTCGGGTTCTTTTTTTCTCTCCCCCTTTTGCAGTGATCTCGTGTAGTTACATATTATTGTGTAGTTGTTGTTGTCGTCATGGTGGTGACTCTGGGTACCGGTTGTTGTTCGCTCTGATTATATTTGCCATTGCCAATTGCCTTTCTTGGTGCAGAAATGGGGTTTTTTTTGCAACATGAGAAGGCTGGTTGCTTTGGTTAGTTTCAGCAGAAATTGTGACTCATTCATGGCAGCATTTTAGCAGAAAATACTAAAATTTCAAGCTTTTACCCCGTTGAGCCTTCGACCATGGAGGATGAGGGAGGTGTAGTGCGTACTACTACAATGGGGGGTAAAGTTTGGTGGGTTGTTGATTTGGGTTTCAGTATATGGCTACTACTATTGTAAAAGCTAATTTCAGAAGATGAACTGGGAAAATGTTCATGCTATAACTGCTGTGAACTTGTATGTTATACTTGTGCTCTAGAAATATATATATATATATATATAAAGGTTTTGTTTGGTAACTAATCACTTTGTATATGCTCTTCTTTCTCATGGAAATGGTGGTTGTTGCCAAATCTTGTTCTTTTCATGTTCGACTTCTGGAAAAATTTCCCCAAAATTGAACCTTTTTTCTTGGCAAAAAGGGCTTTCTTCTTGACTAGGTTACCTCGCAGGAAGTCTTCTGGCTCATCTACAAATTAATTAATCACTCTGAATTTTCAAGTTTCGTTTGGATCAAAGATTTTAATAAAAAGATTTGTGAAGGAAAATAAAAAAAGAAAGGAAAAAATGAATGAAATATAAGATTTTAATTTTTTTTCTTCCATTTTCTTTTTCCTTCTTACTTTTCCCTTATGTTTTTCTTTTCTTCTATAATTCTTTATTTAAATCGTTGATCCAAATACATTATTTTCCCTTGATATAGTGAGTTCAAGATTCATTCGGTTGGTTAGAAACTCTTTGATTGTATTTGGACTTTTTGCCTTGGCTTTGGTTGAGAAATTTAAAAAAAGAAAAAGAAAAAGAAAAAATAAGTGAAATATAAATAAATAAAATATATATATATATATATTTTACCTAATTTGATATATATATTTTTTTCTTTCTAAATTCTTTAACCAAATAGTATACAGTGTTAATAAATAAATAAATATACGCACATAAAAAAATATTGATATTTGACATGGTTTAATCTGCAGTGGCCTAAGCCTACGGATAATATGAGAGGTAAATTATTATAAATAACAAAATACTATGATGAGAAAAAACAAAACTCAACACCAATATTCGAGTTCATTGCGCATTCACAAACTATAATTGAAAGTTATCTTTGTAACCCACTATGGATCAAATTCTGAAATTCACCACTTAAAGCCAACACCAACTGTGTTTCCTTTTCCATGAGAGGGATCTTTCTTAGTCATCTACTCAAAAATGGCACAAGGACCCCATTGTCTTCCCAAATAGCATCAACAATTTAACGAAAGAATGATTGGACACAAGCCCAAATCATGGTTTTTTTTCTTTCTTTCTCGCCATCTTTCACCGTCAATTTGATTAATCCTTTTGTCAGTTCTTGATTTGCCCCTGTTGTAGATGGGACTGTTTGGAGGCTGGGAAAATAGGAAACAACAGGGGGATTGTTCTTTGTTCTTTGTTTTTGAAAACAGAAAACTTATCAAACTAGTGGTTGGGAATTTTTGGATTTACAAAGGGGACCACTTTGATGATCCACAAACATGAAACACCTCCTTGTAATTTTTAAAGCTCTGTTTGGATTGCTTTTTTTAAAAAAATAGTTTAAAATACCCACTAAATGGTAAAAACAGCTAAGCTTAGACAAGGACACCAAACCCTGTTTAAATTGACTTTTTGGGCCTTTGCTTAGAATATGTGCTTTATTAGTTTGCATCTGTCAATCCACTTTAGTTTGTTGGATTATTTTATATATATATATATATATATATTTTTTGCTTTCTTTTTGGGCCTTTGCTTAGAATATGTGATTTATTAGTTTGCATCTGTCAATCCACTTTAGTTTGTTGGATTATTTTATATATATATATATATATATATATTTTGCTTTCTTTGTTTGCATTGTCTTATTATGAAAATGTCGTTTACTAATGAGTTGGTTTTAATGCTTAAATATGTTTTCTATTACAACAAGATGAAAGTTATTGTCATCAATTTGTTTTGTTTTGTTTTTTTATTTTATTTTCTTAATCACGATTATGGCCAGATTTGTTAACTTTGTTTGTCGCCACCTTAATTTATTTTGACGGGTTGTTTGTGGCAGTTTGTGTATTCACATCTTTGATTCTTTTTGTAGGACATTTTTTACCAACGGCTTTGATAGAGACTCTCTTCAATCATCACCCCACCACCATCCCCCTCTCCCACACACACGTGGCGGGTAGTGATTAGAGGAAAAGAAGAAAAGAAAAAAAAAATCTGACCAATCAGAGAGAGGGGGGGTCAAGGGGGTGGGGAGAAAAGGAGATCCGAATCTTTTTCCTTTTACCAATTCACAACAAGAAAGTTTAATTACACCTAATTAAATTATAAAATAAAACATAAAGGATGAGGATTGGATCTCATTTTTTATTCTACAATTTAGTTTTATACGATAAGCATATCTCCCCCGAGCCATCTTGAATTTCTTGAGTTAGTTCAAACTAATTGTATTTTTAATAACTCAAGAAGTTTTGCGTACATAGTTAGATAAACCCCAATCGGAATAATCAGAGATTAACTAGTAATCTTATAAAAACAAAGCACAAAGCATAGACTTCATCAACCCATGTGCTAGCTGATTTTACACCATTGACTACTACGAGGCAAATCAACGACATAGTGCCCAATTTTTTTGACCGATCATGCTACGTAGCTCGAATGTCGCGGCTCGAAACGCGACTCGACACCAAAACGACGTCGTTTTGGTGTCGATTTTGTTTTTTTTTGTTTTTTCTTTCTTCCCTGGTGGGGCCATAAAAATCGGTTTGAGGAGGAGGGGAGGCTGGGCAGACGACGGTGGTGCTGCGACATCGGCGGGGCTGCGACGGAGGAGGAAGCAGAGGCGGCGGCAGGAGCTACGACGACGGCGGGAGCTGCGACGACAGCGGGGCGGGGAGCTGCGACGCTGACCTTCTTCCTCTCCCTCCCTTCTCTTTCTCTCCCTCTCCCTCTCCCTCTCTTTCTCTCGAGCCATTTTCGAGCCTGGTAGCTTCGAGCTACCAGGCATTTTCCTTTTTCCTCATTCTTTCTACCTTCTAGTTAATTGGCTAAACTAGAGATGTGGGTGTTAAACGTGCAAAAAAAAAAAAATAAAAAAAAAAAAACTAGAGATGTGGGTGTTAAACGTGCAAAAAAAAAAAAAATCCATATTCAATACCTAGAAAAATAATATGTAATTTAAATTTAACTCAAGTATGATAAGATTGATACTTAAAATGAAAAAAAAAAAGGACAAATAATTACTGAATAATAATATGTAAAAAAAATTTGCAACTTCATTGGTTCGAGCATCGTGTGAATAATATGACATGATGCTCTAAAATTACTTAAACATTTCACTATTGTTTCAACATTGTTGATCCCAAGTTTGGATAATTAAGAAACTATTAATAATTACTTGAACATTTCATCATGTTTCAACATTGTTGATTTGTATAGTAAAAATATCATGACAATCAGCACTTAAAACTCGGATCGAATCCTAACATAGACATGAGTCTTAATACAAAAACATGCCACATGTTTTTTTAAATAGGAAAACCCTTTGCACCCTATGGAAACTTTTGTCGGAGGAAATGAACCTCATTGTGGTGAGTTTTTTTTTTTTGTGGGTATTTTGAGATTGATTCTATGACATGAATACATGCATTTTGTATGACTCTTACAAATCTATGCATTTTCCATATTTACCAAAATAAATACATGCATTTGAATCTCACTTTGGTGAAATGTTGTCAAATGAATTGAACCTGATTTTGGTCAACAGTAGTTGAGAGTTTTTTTAAAAATTTTGAGATTTTTTTTTTTTCCTTCCCCCCCTGTACTTGGGCATGAATGAATGCATGGATTTTGAATCTATTAGTCACAGATTCGACACCACGTGCTTCATACAGTGAGAAGCAGGGGAGGAGGACTGGTCTGGTCTGGTCTACCATAGCAGATGGTGAAAAAAAAGGAAGAAAAAAACATGATAGAGTCCAAAACATAGAAACAAACCAAGTAGGACAATGTTTCGAAAAAAAAGTGAATGCTAAAGTCTATAAAGCAATAATGGCATATTTGATGTTCTTCTTTATTGCCCCCCTTTCCCTTTGCAAAACAATGGGCTGACATCCCTCTCTCTGCGGGCTCTGGGAGTGGGTTAAAATGTTGTTTGGTGGGGTCTTGGTTTCTACACTTGACCAGCCAGCCAGCATTCACTGTCAACCTTACTTGCTGTGACTCACTAAAGTTGTGAGTTCATGGACTTATTGCCATGGTTTTTAGTGCATTAACCTCTTCTAATTCACATTGCAAAAAGATTCAGAGAAAAAAATGTGCTCAATTCAAGTCTTGTTCGTTTTATATTTTGAGTCCATTTCAAACGAAATTGATAACAAATTGAGTTCAAATAGTCAATATTTTATAGTGTGTAACAGCTTATAAAATCAAGTTGTATCATATTTAAATTTGACTTGAGAACTTAATATACTTAAAAAATACATTCAAATTTAATTTATTTACATAATAAGTTACTTTCAAATAAATTTCTAACGAATCAATCATGAGTAGAACTTGAATAACCTAATTGGCCCTACTTTGAGGCAGGATAGCCCACCCATAGATCGAATTGTCTTCACCTCTGAACTTAATGCAGTTCCATTTTATGGCCAAATTTTATTACAATCCAAGCAAATGGTTAATATCCAAGTTTGGTATAAAGAATCATCAATCATAGCTCTGTTTGATTTCTTGTCTTAAAATACTTAATTATTGATTCGTATGGTGAAATTTTTATATAATTTAACAATTTTGAGTATTTTGAGAGAAATAGTTATCATTGCGTTTTTAAATTGAGGAAATACCAATAGCCTATTTTATTATGGGATGTGATGGATGAGAGGGAAGTAGAATAGAACAAGGTACAAGAAATTGGCATCACTGGAGGTGATGACTTAGTGGAGAAAGCAGCTTTCTCTTTGGGAGTGAGTCAGGTTCGAATCTTGTGGGATGTGGATTTTCTTTGGCTTTGTCGAGCTAGGCTCTTTTCGGACACCCTATATTGTATTCTGATTGAAACTTACCCTCTTCTATAACGTATGGCCTAGCTCCATTGGTGCCTCGGTGATGGGTCCCTTCTTATGAATTGAGTTAAATTTGACTGGTAACCGGTTATCCCGGAACCAAGACCTACGGATGGTGTGATACTCCCACAAAATGTCTTTTTTTTTTCTTTTTTTTTTTTTCAGTTCAAAAAAAAAGTTGCAAGAAATTATCACATTTAATGGAGGAAATGGGAACCCAAAAAGCAGTTGTGATCAAAATGTATATCAATGGGGAAGTCTACAAGAAGAAAGGAAAAGAGCATGAATTTCACATTTGCATTGCCATTTTGTTGGCCTTTCTCACCTAACTCAACCCTGCTTTCAAAGTACAGTTTGTCTGTTTCCAACTCTACTTTTAGGATATAGCCATGTCCAAATATTTATTTATTTATTATTATTATTTTTTTCTTGTCATGGTGGCTTTGCTACATTTGGACCACAAGCTATTCTCAATGAGAAATACAAGTGGCTTGTTTGTTGTACAATACTGGATCTATTCAGGGGCTAGGAGTCCTCCATGCTGTGTCCCAATTTACCCATATTAGTGAAGGAAAATTCTAAAGATCCATAAATTCATACAAAAATTTGATAAGAATGATATGACAATATTATTATTGTAAATAAATTTATCTTTAATGATGTTTTGGTATTTTGTTTTGAAATGAAAAATTCACTATAAACTACATTATTATGTTAAAAATTATGTATAAATTTTTTATTTATATAACATTATTCATTATTGAATCATGTAAAAATCACGAGACATGGACATTGGATCCTCAGTTAGAGAAACTTTTTAAATTTCAGTTAGATAAACATGGATGTAGCTCAAAAGTCTAAACATGTTCGCTCGTCTGGAAGTACAAGCTCAAAATACATTTTTTTTTTAAACTTTGAAATAATCATCGTATTTTAATTTATTTAAGTTATTTTTTATTTAATAAGTTATAAATAGAAGTTACATCAAATAATTTAACATAAAAAGTCTATTTTGGCAATTAAAAAAAAAGCCAGCTTATTAGTTTATTGATTTATTTGAATTACATCATCTCTCTACCTTTTTGCATGTTTTTCCTTTAAAAGTCAAAAAATTGGTTTTTTCCTTACTTCCCAAAATAGGCCAAAATAAGTTATAAGTTGTACAATTAAGTTGGCTAGCACTTTGGCTACCAAGTCTCTCTTAAAAGGAGATCTTGGGTTCCACTATTAGGAGTGGAATGAGAAGGCAAAATTTTCTGAACTCCCCCAAATACTAATCTAACAACTACGCACTAAACTTTTGCCAATAAAAAAAAATAATTTGAAACTAGATACAAAATATTACCGTTGAATAAAATTGAATTTCTTTGACAGTAACTTATTGTGATATCAGAGTGTAATTCTGGGATTAGGATGTTTTGTATGAATTCTTGTGGCTATTTTATGGATGGATGATGATCTTCATTTTATGAATAAAAAATCTTTATTTTAAATTTAAAAATAGAAAAGGAAAACGAGGTAATTGTAAATAATTAATTTTGAATTTTATAAAATGAAATGGAAAGGATCAAATTTTATTGAGAAGAAAACAACATGATTATTAATCTGCAATAACAATTTAAATAATATGCAGTAATTGTATACATTTATAGAAAAAAATGTTTAATCATTATTCAGAAAATATAATTCTATTGAAAATATTAATAATAAAAATAATCCATCTTTAATAGTGGTAAATAATTTAACATAATATCACAACATAAAATAGAAAAAGTATAAATTATAATATTTGCAAGTGTTTAACCAGGGAACATTGAGCATAAATAGGAGGAGGTTTTTTTTTATAAATCTGTGTCATCACAATAGGTACATTTACAAGCTAGAAACATGATGTACAAGAACTTTGACTTAACACATTATACATACATGTATGTCTCAACAATTGCAAATCAAGAGAGAGCTTTTATTTGATAATAATGAAAAGAAAATGTTTTTAATCATTACATTCAAAGCCCCTGTTTAGCGGTGTACGTATTTTGACTTATTATTTGATCTGGTTTGGAGGGGGGGTCCCCCTGGTCTGCATTGGAGTGTACATAATAATTCAACAGATGCCTCCTCTCCTCTGACATGGAAAACAGGGAAGCAAACTATCCTTTTAAAATTGAATACTTTGAATAAACAGAATCATATTTACAATTGTTGATGTAGTGTGCAGAGATTTGTAAGATTGTAGAGGGAAAACAAAACCAGCACATGATTTAGAATTAAAAATTGGTAGTTCTGCTCCTACGACTGATTTCCATGACATTGCTTCATGCTCGTACAAAAATTGAGTAACATAGAATTCCCAACTCCTAACTGAAATATTCTACAAAATCTAGAACAGAGGTCCAGCAGTTGAGAGAGTTTATGTCACTGGTGGTAGACAATCAATCTGCAAACTGTTCTACGGCTTCCAGCTGATAATCCATTGTTTGTGCTTCAAACATCAAATTTGCACGGTCCTTCCAACATAGATATTGTGTCTCATAGATGGGTTGAATACTGTAAATCTCTTCATTGTAAAATCCTCTGCTGCTATAGTTCCTGAAAATTGAGCAATGAGCATGTGGGATGGAATTGTGTGCAAAAAGAAACACACTACCTCCAAGACTGCAGCCAAATTTGTTCAAGTCATAGGCATTCCACATCACAGCAGCCATGGTTTGTCCAAAACCTACAGCTGTTTGTGTAATATAATATATTGCAGTCAATCGATTATGCGTACCAACTACATCATCTATCACATGTACATACTTAAGTAATAACTAAACCTGCTAGCATGGTTTAAAGAATAAACAACACTATCAATCATCTTTGGAGTCGATGCATTTAAAGGAGACCTTGTCATATAAAACATCATAAGCACCAGACATTCTCAAGCACAAGCCTAGATTAGAGGTTTTTTTTTTTTTCCCTTACCAAAGTAAGGAGCAATTTATCGATAGGTAATCATCAATTAAAGATCCTACGAATTCTCAACCAAGTTCCACATGTTCAATTTTCTATCAAAAGCAAGAAATAAGCAATACTATCTCAAGTTAAGATGCAAGTACACACAATGATCAGTGTCACAGATATTTGGGGGTTGACAATTAGCATGTGCAATATCATATTTTGGTTAAGAAATAAGCAAGATCTCAAGTTAAGCACACACATTGGGGGTTGACAATTATCAAGTGCAATATCGATTTCTAATTCACATATCTAATGCTTTAGAGCCTAGCTAGTGTCCAGCAAATTTGCCAGTAAATTTGGTTTAGGAGTAGAAACGAATTTCACCAGAAAGTCATTTCAAAAGTTGGGATGAAACTTTCAAGAAAATTTTAGGAAAACCACTTCGAGACATTTTGGAAACATTTTGGAAATTCTAGATAAGCTTGTAAGAAATTTAGAGTGAGACTTCTTTTTCAAAGGGAACCCAAAAAAAAAATAAAATTGGGGGGCTTTTCCTAGTGTTTTATTGTTAAGTACAGAAACTAGGTAATAGTATCCTCCCAATCAAAACAGCTGGCAAACGGGTAGAGTACGACACAGAGTCTACTAGACGCAGTTCAACTAGCAGAAACTCTTTGAACAGCTAAGAGTAAGAAGTCCTCAAATGAGTGTGATTTAAATTACTTCTCATTTCATCCTTATTCACATCATCATTCCCTTGTCATATGGATATACCATTCATATTGAAGGGAGCAGCAGCGACCTTGAAGAAAGTATTGACCCAATATTCCTCGGCACAATGCCCAATTAGTTTTCAATGTGGATGACATGGTGGTTAAGGCCTGGTTTAAGGCCCAACAAATATTCCACAGAGTGGTTAAGGCAAGCATGATGCCTGATTGGTTAAGACCCAGTTTAGACATGGTGGTTATACCATTCAACGTAATCAATATCACAAAAATCAGCTGGATAAATAATCTTAACTTCTTATTTGCATACTCTTGTAAACACAAGTCACACACAATTAAAAAATATTTCACAACATACAAGGCGTAATGAGATTGAAATCATTTTGCACGGATGATTTTGGCAGCCGAGCTGCTACTGAAAAGTAGCACAAAGTGGGTTCCAATCTTGTCTTTCAATTAACCTGACTACTATTTATGCCCACATATCATATACGGACTCGCACTGGAAAAGTATATAAAAGCAAGCCTCACAGATTAAGATTGTATTTACCCCATGCTCACAACAGAATATTCGAAAAAAATAAATTGGAAATTTATTTTGAGCCATCCAATTTTCTGATAATTAAATGGGAAAGAGGGGAGCATCTAAAGGGGGGAGCAACTAAAAAGGGAATAAAATGAGTTAACAAGAAAAGATTAATCTGCATGTGTGATGGAAGTGATGTTTTTTAATAAGCTGACACTTGGGAACTTATTATATTGCTGAGATTATATTGTTCACCAAAAATACTGGGATAAATCTAGGTCAGATATTAATTGTGCTTGAGAACGAAGAATGAATTTGAAAATGAAGTGTGATTCCCTGTATTCAACATAAAATTTTCTTTTTTACCTCCAGAATATGCATTGGAACCGGGAAGGTCTGCATCCTTGCACCCTACACAGCCAAACATCATTGAATTTAAGAGAGTAGAAGATGACAAATGGGCACAAAAGTCAACATTGTCGTACTTATGTCTAATACAAACCATGCCATCTATGCATACATGAACATAGAAATCAGAGTGTTTTACATGAGACATCAAACCAAAAGATGCCACAATAGCATTATAAACTACAAACCAAATGGAATCTGTACTTCATCCTGCAGATGCAGTGAACCATTTGCAATTATGAGCGGAATGGGCGCTTTCGTGATCTTGTTTCCAAACTCAACTTGGTCGATGCCTACCCTCCTTGAGTTTGCGGGGGGTTGTTAACATATAATATACATATAATATACCCCCCACTACCATGTATAGCTGTAACCTTGCATCTGTAAAGGCCACAATGTGTAGCTGTAAAGAAGAGAACTTCACTTTAGCTTTAGCTTCTCTCAATGTAAATTACCAGGCATCCGATGCTAATTGTCTCCCTCTCCTCTCTATAAAGAGAGGGAGCTTGCTCTCTTGTAATTATACTGAAATATAATATAATAACACCAACTTTCAGTCCCTCTCTTTTTCTCTCCCTCGTTACCAACCTTACATTCTCTCTGTTCTCTTCCTCGTTACCAAACTCACAAAGCTAACAATTCTGGCATTCCTCAATTTTAGGTCTTAGTTCCGTACACAGTGGACTATACCAAACAGCTCGGAATTTCCCTACGATCCCAATGGCACCAAGCCCATCACCAAACAAGCCTTCACGCGCTCTCACGCGCCGCTTCTTCTCTCGGCGCGTCTCTGCTTCCGTTGCCACTCTCACACGCGCTGCCACGCGCCTTCCATCCTGCCCTGTCGTGCGCCGCACCTGCTACCGTGCACCAGCATGCGCCGTTCGACTACCGTGAGCCGCGCGTGCGCCGTTCCGCTATTGTGCACCCGCGTGCGCCATTCTGCTAACATACGCTGCCAGTCCCCTCTGCTACCGTGCGCCGCACGCCCTTCCTGCTAACGTGCGCCGCTGACCTCATTTTCCACCCTGCTGACATCATCCCTGCACAGCCCACCTTTCCTAGCTATTTTCGACCTTCCGGACTCACTGGTACACTCTGTTTTACCTAATTTTGCTCCTACAGGTCTCTCCCTATCCATTTAGCCCTCCTCCACTATTATTATGGATCGTCCTGATGCCTCCCATCCTATTTCCGTTATTTTGGATGGTTCCAACTATGTTCTATGGGCCCAAGCCATGTCTTCCTTCCTCAAAGGAAAGAAGCTCTGGCGAATTATCACCGGGGACATCACCCAACCGGTCAAAGACACTGCTGAAACCACTATTTCCCCTGCTACTCCTACATATGAAGATCGCCTTGAGGAATGGGACAGTAAGAATTACCAAATCATTACCTGGTTTCGGAATACATCTGTTACCTCTATCAGTCTTCAGTTTGGCCGCTTTCAGCTTGACTCTGTCACCACTCCTGCCAAAGATATCTGGGATTTTTTGAAAGAACGCTACCAGACTACTGGTCTTGCTCATCAATATCAACTTCAGAGCCAACTTCATCGGATGCGCCAAGAATCTAGTCAGTCCATCAATGACTTCCTCTCTCAAATGTACTCCGTTTGGGACCAGCTTGCTCTTTCTGAACCAACTTGGCCTCACCAAGAAGATGCTATTTTATTTACTGCTTATCGTAATCAGCAACGGTTGGTGCACTTTCTTATGGCTCTCACTTCATCTTTTGAGCCTGTACGTGCCTCTCTTCTTCATCGCCATCCCTTGCCCACTCTGGAACAAGCTATTTCTGAGTTGCTATCAGAAGAGACTCGTCTTGGTACTCTCCAACCTCATCATGTGGACTCTGTTCTTGCCACTCCCCCGTACCAACCATCATTCCCCCAGCGGACCACTGCCTGTCTCTACTGTCAGAATCGGGCCCTTCCTTCCACACATCTCCTGGTCAATTGCCCAGTCAGAACCTGCAGATATTGCAACAAACTTAGTCCTGGTCATCTGCAACAGGATTGTCTTCGCCATCCATCCCGCTCATCCTCCAACAACCACTCTTCTCGCGGTGGTTCTTCTCGGGGGAGCTTTCATCGTTCCAGAAACCAATCTCATCCTGGGAATCAGTTTCCTCACACCGCCACTGCTGCTGCTGCCGCTGAGGGTTTTTCTGAGTCTCCGGCTCCGTCTACCCCTCTCTTTTCTCCAACAGATGTCGAGGCCATGTTCAAACACCTTCTCTCCCCTTCTGGTACACCTCCTCCTACTGCTTTGTCTGTAATTCCAGGTAACTCTTCTTGGTATTTTGATTCTGCCTGTTGTAATCATACTTGGGATCTTGTTGACCTTCCTCCTGGCAAAACTGCGATTGGCTGCAAATGGGTTTACAAAATCAAGACTCATTCTGATGGCTCTATTGAACGCTACAAAGCTCGTCTTGTTGCCAAGGGTTTCAACCAGGAATATGGGATTGATTATGAGGAAACCTTCTCCCCTGTTGCTCGGCTTACCTCTGTTCGCAGTTTACTGGCTGTTGCTGCTGCTCGCCACTGGGAGCTTTTTCAAATGGATGTCAAAAATGCCTTCCTCAATGGTAATCTTCTTGAGGAGGTCTACATGCAACCTCCCCCTGGGTCTACTTTTCCCCCTCATAAGGTTTGCAAACTACAGCGTGCCCTCTATGGCCTCAAGCAAGCACCCCGCACTTGGTTTGCTAAGTTCAGTTCTACCATTCATGACTTCGGGTTCACCTCTAGCTCCTATGACTCTGCTCTTTTTATACGGACTACTCCTCATGGTACCACTCTTCTCCTTCTGTATGTGGATGATATGATTATCACTGGTAATGATGCAGCTGGTATTCTCCACCTCAAACGTTTTCTCCACCGTCAGTTTGAGATGAAGGACCTTGGTACTCTCAACTACTTTTTAGGCCTTGAAGTCTCTCATGATCCTACTGGCTCTTACTTATCTCAGGCCAAATATGCATCCGATCTTCTGGCTCGTGCTGGTCTTACTGATTGCAAAACTACATCTACTCCAGTTGATCCTCAGATTCGTCTCACTCCTCTCGACGGGGCTCTCCTCCCTGATGCTACTCTCTATCGTCAGCTCGTCGGCAGTCTTGTCTATCTCACAGTAACTCGTCCTGACATTGCCTATGCTGTTCACATTGTTAGTCAGTACATGTCGGCACACTTATTACACCACTATACTGCTCTACTCCACATCCTTCGATACATCAAAGGCACCCTGTTCCATGGCCTTCACTACTCTGCTTCCTCATC